TGCTTTTTGGGAACGACTATTTTGTCAAATTAGCTAATTTCCTGATTGAATAATTTAGCCTAATTTCTAATGTTTTAATGGAAAGCACTCTCTTTTATATATTTCTGATCTTTCAACACCATATTCTGCACCAAGACCTCACTTATAGAAATATTTCCACAGGTTCTTCTACTGATTTTAGGGCTGCTCCTAATTATTCTTTAAATGATCAATAAATCTGCCGATTGTTTTCTGGATTACAAGTCCTGACGGCTGGTTTTAAGGCTCAGTTTCTGAATACAGGCTGTGTGCGTTTCTCTGTGGACTGAGGCTTTGATACTTTCACAGTATTAATATAGAACCTAGACCTGCTTTATAATCAAACAACACATGGACACCTCACTTATGAGACCTTTAAGGGACCTTTAATGGTTGGGTCAACAAAATAAGGAAATTGTACAGCAAACAAGTACGGGTATCTATTACCATATTAATTATATATATGCTGCAATTGTGTTTTCAGTTTGCTGTAAGACACAACAAATCTCAGTAAAGCAACTCTGAAAAAACTTAGAAATGTGTCTGCTGCAGATCAGAATCCAGTGGACATCCAGGGTCACTCCATCAATAAATTACATTCTAAACTCTTGTTCTTTTGGTCATTGTCAATAGTTTCCACAAAGCAAGACAAAGTATACGACAGAGGCTGCCATAGTGCGGCTGCAAAATGAACTACCACTAACCCTTACAGCTATCACAAGGTGTAAAAGGTTTCAGTCGACTTTCTCCGCGTACTGTAAACAAGGACTCAAGTAAGAATCCTAAATATTACATGACACTACATAAGCATCGGGGAAGACGTTTACACGACGAGCTGAGTGATGCACGTGAGCCTCAGAGCCAGAGATCAGTCCGACTGTAAACTGTTTACACTGCTGGAGGAAGACGGACGTGTCTGCTTTAATGTCTGTGAACTGACTCCTCCACCTGAGCCACGCTGTGTTTACACTCAGCTCCGTCCGAGATATAACACGCGCGGTGGTTTATGATCCATTGTACATTACTGTAACACCCCCCCCCCCCCCCCCTCTACTCTTAGCTGATTTGCACAGGCAGGATAGTCTGCAGCCAGTCCTTGTCATGTAAATACTGTCACCTCAACTGCCATTCAAATGTATTTGCATCCAGACTGAATGTGGGTCATTCAGTCAGTAGGCTGTTTGAGCGGTGGTGGTGGGGGGGTTAGTGTAAGGGGTTTAATGAGCAACGCAGGGCAGGTGATAAGGGCGTTTGTATGGGAGCGGAGTCCTCTAAGCAAACCTCCCCATTAGCAACTTGTCTTCTGTCTGTAATTTGGTGTTTGTCTTGTTTAAACAGGATGTTGGTCCAGGACGTGTCAGACAGGCAGATAATTCAAAGGGTTAACCTGCAGTAAATACTGCTGAGCCAGGGCCTTTATATGTTTATACACACTTGCATGTAACATACACCCAAATAGATTTACATTTACCATTTACTTTTATCCAAAGCGACCCTGAGGCTACATCTATTTAATAAGTGGAGGAGATCAGGTGAAGAAGTGCAGTGAACGTGCACAGTAAGAGCTCGTTAGACATGTTAGAGATGTGAGAGAGGAGGTGCTCTCTGAGGGGAGGAGTCTTCAACAGATGCTGGAGGATAGAGAGAGACGCTCCTGCTCTGATAGCATGTGGTATCTTCCACCATCAGGGAAGCACAGACCAGAACAGTCTGGACTGAGACTGCCGTGTGTGCAGAGATGGTGAAGCCAGACGACAGTGGCAGAGAAGGAGCATAAAGCTGAATGACTGAGTTCAAGTAGATGAAGGCGAATATTAGTGACTTGAATTTGATTGGGGCGGCCTTGGGTAGCCAGTGTAGGTCGATGCTTGGGACCCCCAAGGGCAAAAGGGGGCCTCGATGGCCCCTCATATTGGCACATTTTGTAATGACAACTATGAACCCCCTTGAACCTCCCATAAAGACACTATACAGTGCACTGCTGCTGCCCCACACCCCCATTTAGTAGATGGTGTGTGCTGTGGCTAGCGTCTACCGATTTCCTGCAAGTGAGGCATTCGTGTAACATCTGTAAATTGTAGCGTCTACCAATAGTCTGTATGTGAGGCGTTTAGGCGATATCTGTAAATTGTAATGTCTGCCAATAGTGGCAGGGGGGTTGTTGGAAGGACTTGGTCTTGCCTGATTGGTTATCAGTTTTTATTTGTTATTATAACCGCAGACAGCTTTATTTTAGAATTTCTGGTCTTTGCTCTTAAATGAATAACTTTGATGTGACCTTGACATGTGCCATTTTGGGCAGATGGAAGACCAGACGGGCAGCTGCGCTCTGGACCATCTATAGGGGTTTCACTGTACACGAAGGAAGACCCTCCAGCAGGGCATTGCATTACTAATGGGGCAGGGTATTGAGGGAATCATAGTACTGTTTACCATCCGTAAATGACTGAAATACTTTTCTAGTTGTAAAATGATGTTTTCCTGTATTTATATTATTAAAAACTGAACATCTGGTCGCTGGAAAATATCAACATCAATGAGACGACAGAAGATATTTTTCTATTATTATATTATCTAGGTTCTTATTCTCATCGACCCCCACAGCTAACTAACCTGCTCAGCTGAAAGTTTGCATTATCAGGGTGATGTTTTCGTTAGTATTCTTTCCATGCCCTGTACAAAGGTATGCCCATTAACCTAATCATTGTTATTATGGTTGTAATTTGAGTTCTCCACTTCAGAGCGCTGAACATGGTTTCACCTCAGGCATGGCAGAGTATGTTAAAGAGAGCCATTTAGCTTTTTTTTTCCCCCCTCTTCCTATTCCATCTTCCAAAGTAAACAGTATTTGGAAAACTTTCTCTAACTGACTCCGTAATAAGGAAAAGGAGAGTGCTGTTCTTGATTTATCTGCTTGTTTTAGCAAGAGTCTAGCTTTTAAGATTAATTCTAGAATAAGAAATTTGAGAAGCACTTTTAGGAACTGCATTACAGGGTTCAGAAAAACAAAAACAAAACAATAATAATAAACAGCAAGAAACACAACACAAAGAAAATATAAGGCTTTGGTAAAACAAGCCAGAGGAGCAGGGAAAATGTCAGACAGGTATGACAGGACTCTGACTGACAGAGGAGTGACGGATCTGTTTGCTTTCAGATGTCGCCTTGTGTTTTTATGGTGAGCGAGGCCCAAGTGGAGATGAGCATGACGGGAGAGAGAGAGAGAGAGGAGCTTTGCGGCTGCAGACACGCTCTGCAGGCTGAAATATCCCTCCGCTCGCTCTCTTCTTAATGCACTTCATCCCTCTTTCCTCCGGGCAACAGTCGCTCCTAATGTGTGGTTATGGGAACATCATGCGCCGCTGTAATGAGATTTTCACTTTAGGTCCAAGTTGCACAAACAAAAAAAAAAAAAAATGTTCTCATATTCAGAGAGCTGTGATCAAACAATGTGATCTCTTGTCTGTGTTTAAAGTTTTAAGGGGGTGTGAAGACTCTATAGTGCAGCTCTGCGGTTGTTGAGCTTTGCACTCAGATTTGTTTTTACTTCTACTCTTTACTCTTCCTCTCCTCTTCGTTTTAAAAGGAACAACCAATTAAATATGTTGTTTTCTCAGAACATAAACATGTCTGAGAGATGGAAAACTTCTCTCACTCTGTTTACTGCACCTCTTAAAATTTACCGGTTTTGACAGCATCGCTGTTTTTAGGCTCAAGAGGATGTTTTTTTTTTTTAAAAAAAAAAAAAAAAACAAGCTTAATGCTTCTCTAACCTTTGGCAGCTACTCAAACCTTCACTGCTGATGATGACGATGAGCGTTTCTGACAGCATCACCTTTTTTTCCGCGCCAACCCCAGCGAATCGGAGAACCCAGATGATTCTGGCGTAACCTTTACGACTTTTCAGACCAGTTGGTAGAAATCTCTTGTTGTTTTCTCACAGATACATGCTGATCTGCTGCCTTTTTTTTTCCCCAAGTCTGCCTATTTATCCATTAGTCACCGCTGCAGCCGCTGCCAAGGCTTCTCCTGGCTCCACAAGCTCCTATTTCAGCAGTTTGCTTTGTTTTGCTTTGAACTTTGAAATATGAAGCTGGTTTGGAGAATCTGCGGTTTTGGGTTGGTGGTGGTGGTGAAAAGAAAAACAAAAGGTCATCAAATGTGCTGAACGTTGTGTTGCTGCGCTTTTCCTGACAGGCTGAGTGGAACTGGTGAAGGAGGTTTGGTGTGTGACTGAGCTCCCGTGTTGTGTTCGCTGTCGGCCGCCTTCCTGGGAGTCTAATGGGGGGGTTATGTGTAGCCTTTGGCCCGTCTGTGCTTCCACCTGAGCAGTGACAGGCAGCAGAGATGTGATTCACTCTGATTGCTCTCTCTCTTATTGCTTATTAAATGACTGGCGTGTGGGTTCAGAGATGAGTTATTACACTTGTCGTCAGAGATGTTCAGCTGCGTTTGTTGACGTTAACGTTCATTTTCAACTCTCTTGTCTCATGTTTGTGACTCACTAACTACACTTCAGACATATATACATGTGTACCAGTCACTACATATCTATGAGTCCTGAGTCACCAAACAAGACTCCAAGTTCAGTTTCGACCCCCTTAGTGTTTGAGTCCAAGTCACCTAAGAAGACGTTGTGTCGGGTCCCCACACAGTCATCAGCGTTGAGTCTGAGTCGAGTGAAAGCAAAGCACAAGCATCCTGCCACTAACTGTTGCTGCTGATATGCACGTGAATGCACATGTAGTTTTGGTGAGCGCACGTGTCTGCCCTTACATGAAATGGAATAATGTTAGTGTTGATATAGATATCGATATCTTATTCCAAATGATTACGGACCAGTTTGAGTCTGAGTCCGAACGCAGGCAATGAGATTTCACACTGATATTTTTATACACGTTCACATGTCTAACACTTTTTCTCTCTCCCTCTCCCTCTCTCTCTCTCTCTCTCTCTCTCTCTCTCTCTCTCCTGCTCCACAGACGTACATCGGCTCCATCCTGGCGGCGGTGAACCCTTACCAGCCGCTTCCCGGCCTGTACGAGCGGCCGGCTGTGGAGCTGTACAGCCGACACCACCTCGGTGAAATCTCCCCGCACATCTTCGCTGTTGCCAACGAGTGCTACCGCTCACTGTGGAAGAGGCTTCAGAACCAGTGTGTCCTGATCAGGTAGGCCATCTTCTTTTTTTTTAAGTGGTGGTGGTGGTGGGTTTTTTTTTTTATTATTGTCTTAGAAGTTTAATCAAACTCAGTGTGAGTTTCCTGACTTTTGCTGACTCACCAACAGCCCAGTGCCCTGTCAGGATATCCACATCTTTCTCGTCAGAGGTCATATGGAGCGCTCTAATTGGCTGTTTTGAATAAACCGTTGTGGTCTCCAGCACGTTCAGTCGCTCTCCCCTCAGTGCGTCAAACACTTTGATCGAGTTTCAAGTCCCCCTGGGGAGTTTGGCTGCAGTTCTGACGATCTTAACGCTACATGCCTCCCCACACACACACACACACACACACACACACACACACACACACACACACACACACACACACACACACTGTTACTATCTCCATCCTCTGTCCCCTGCTTCCCCTCTCACATCCTTCCTCTTTGATTTTCGCTGGACGACTTTCACATCCGCCGTCGCTCCATTGTTTCCTCAGACACACAGAGACATTCTCTTCCCCCTGATTTACAAAAAAAAAAGTTATTTTTACATTTTAGAAAAAAATATTTGGCCTCCGAATTAGCAGACAGCGGATACAGAAGAGATTGCTGTGTTTGACTCTGTGGGAACTGTTGCGTTTGTGGTCATCGAGGTATCCTGAGTACGTGGCTGTACGTGGTTGTCCTGGCAGCGATTTACGTAAGAAGACAACAGATAACATTTTAGACCAGGATGGTAAAAGTGGGTCGTTCAGTGTGGAGTGTGAAGATCAGTAGAACAAAGACCTAAAGCAGAATCCGGTAAAAACAAACACCTAGGGTGAGAGGTTACAGGCTGCGGTGGTGAGTCTCAGCTCGCTGATTCAAGCAGAAGTGCTGCAGTTTTCTAAAAAATTAGCTGGCTTTAGTTTACAGCCCCGTTTGGCCCTGTTTGGCCCTGTTTGGCCCTGTTTTATTGGCATCGTGGATAATGAGACACACATGTTCCCTTTTAAACGTAAGGCGGTTTGAGGTTGCGGAGGAAGCAGAAAGTGAACGGTGGCTTTTCTTTAATTGCTAATGACCATTTAACAACGTAGCACATGAGAATTGTTAGTGCACGTCCATCATTGTTGCCATTTCTTTGATTTCCAGCTCTGCAGAGACGAGCACCGTCACTGCAGAATCTTATATCACTAAAACACCAAAGCCAAAGCATGGCAGGGGCTCTAATGGGTAGCTCCATATAAATACAGGTTTAACAGTAACAGCTTTACTGCAGGACATGTAAACACGTTATTTGATCGCTGCCAGTAATTTGCTCTCCTGTGAAGAACGAGCCCATAGGTCGTCTGTGCGGCAGGTTATTATGACCCATAGTTACGTTTTGCTGCTAGGCGACATCCAGTGGTCGTAGTAATGATGGCAGGAGCAAAGGCAAAAGTGTCGGTGACGTAGTATAAAGAGAGACAAAGTCCATATCAGGAGGAGGTTGTGGTGGATGGAGGAATATGAAGCAGGGGGGCGTTAACCGTGTTGTTGTTATTGTAACCATGACAACAAAGATCGTCTAATGTTGAGGAGGTACTTATTTTAACCCAAATCATAATCTTTTCCTGAACTTAACCAAGCCATGAGCGTTTATTATTGTAACCATGGTGACGAAGGTCCAGTACGTCACTGTCAGTACAGTCCGTGGCTGTGTCCCAATCAAGGGCCGCATCCTACAGAGGTCGCGGTCGACGAAGATGGAACCGAAATGAAACGGTCTGTTTCTGTCACTTCGTGTCACCAGCTGTGCTCACCCTTACCGTTGCATAGCAAAGCGTGGCTCCGGGTCGCCTAGCAACCTTGACGATACACAACATTTTTTCACAATGACCTTAACAAACAGGTTATTGGTGTTTTTTTGCTGCCATATTACTTTCATTACCGGCGTGCAATGAATCTTGGGATTGGTCTGGCCAAAGATCCACCTGTTGGAGCCTTTGTTGCCAGGGGAAAAGAAGGAGGCATTTGAAGGCAGTCTTCAAACGCAGTTTTGAAAGGTTTGCGGCCCCTGAATTGGGAAGTAGCCTGTGTGTGTTTATTATTGTAACCATGACAACCAAGTTCTGGTACACCTGCCCGCCGTAGAAGTCTTAACAACTGTATGGTTGTTCAGGGTTGGAGGATTGTTGTTCATTTTTCACCCTGAATACACCAGCGGACCTGAACATCTCCCATGTTTACAGTAGCTGTGGATGTGAATAACCAAGCAGCTTTGTGGTTCAGTCTCACCTCACATGTTCCCTCAGCGCTCTCCCGGTCTGAGTGTCCTTCGTCCCTCTGCTCGGGGCACACAAAGCCTTTTGTCTGGCAGGATGTCGGTCGGTGGGAAGAATATGCACCGCGGGGCGCACACAGCGAGGCGTAAACACAAACATGTCACATTGTCGTCGGAGAAGTCCCCCGAGCTGCACAATGCTGCACATTCTCCTCGCAGAGATGCATCACTGCTGTAGGACGGTTTGTGTTTGTCCTTATCCCACTGATTGTTGGTTCTTTTCCTGCTGCAACAAGCAGATTTCCCCTCCAGGGTTCAGCAGCCTCAAAAAGTCGTCTTTCATTCTCAAAAGGATGATTTTATATTCCCCTCTTGTATCTTTCGAACTATGCCGCGGACTTTTCAACCCGCTCCGACGGCCCGCAGTGTATGAAAACACTTAATTTACCGCAGAATCTGTGAACTTCAAGAAAAAGAAAAACACTCATTTGGTTTGCGTAGTTTTTCCATGACACATGAAGCCATGCAGGCCAGAGAAGACACGCCACACACCACGGCCGTGACCTTTTTAGCTGTTGTCTCAGCTAAAACACAACCTGCTGGTTTACTGTCTGTTAAAATAGAGTAAATGACACACTGAGCCTCCCAAGACACACACAGTGAGGCTCGATCGTCCTCCCCTGAATCTGATTATTTGCATCTTTCAGGATATTTTGAGGTTGAGCATTGCATCTTTTCACATTGCGAAAGTCGGAACAGGACGGTTTGAACTCTGCTCTGTGGTCAACTGTTGCAAAACAGGGATATAAAGCTAATTGCAGAGACATAGCAGGGCATTCAATTTCTTCTTCTGGATGCTTATTCAAGAGGGAAAAAAAGCCAAAAGCCTAAAATATGAATGTAAAAGCATGTTTTTGGATATAGTGTATATTTGTTGCATTGTGATCCTCATAGCAAAAGGTGGAGAAGTCCCGAATGTTGCTTTCAATGAATAGTGGATGTAAAGAAAATAAGATGGGCTTGAATATTACCCTCCTGCTTTTCTCTGACCTCCTTTGGCCCCAAACAACCAGTGAGAGTGTCGCTCTTTAACTCTGGTTTTTACATGTTTCTGAGCGTTTTACTGCCTCTGAGCTGCTAATCAGCTGTTAATTGTTACCCTCGAGCAAGGCACTGAACTCCCAGCTGCACCAGTCAGCCGAGTGAATATGAAGTACGGTGGTGCTGCAAAAAAAACATGAATGATACATGAATTATTAATTTACAAAGTCGCTCAAATTGGATTCATTTGATACATGGTCCAGTTTCAAGTCTCAGTCTGAAGCCACAGAGAAAATACAGTGTTTGCATGTTGTTGTTTTTCATACTACATACCTACATAAAAAGTCCGATTTTTGTGGAATCTGTGAGGGGGTGAACGTCCCAGTTTTCATTGATTGCATTGATTCACTGAAGCAGAAGCAAAGTGCTGGAGCTCCCTCTGGTCTGCTGCTGCTGCTGCTGCTGCTGCTGCAATGCAACAAATATAACACTATAATCCAAAAACATGCTTTTACATTCATATTTTAGGCTTTTGGCTTTTTTTCCCTCTTGAATAAGCATCCAGAAGAAGAAATTGAATGCCCTGCTATGTCTCTGCAATTTAGCTTTATATCCCTGTTTGCAACAGTTGACCAAGAGGAGAGTTAAACGTCGTTCGACTTTCGCAATGTGAAAAGATGCAATGCTCAACCTCAAAATTCCGAAAGATGCAAATAATCAGATTCAGGGGAGGACGATCGAGCCTCACTGTGTGTGTCTTGGGAGGCTCAGTGTGTCATTTACTCTATTTTAAACGACAGTAAACAGCAGGTTGGTGTTTTAGCTTGAGACAACAGCTAAAAAGGTCACGGCCGTGGTGGTGTGGCGTGTCTCTTCTCTGGCCTGCATGGCTTCATGTGTCATGGAAAAACTACGCAAACCAAATGAGTGTTTTTCTTTTCTTGAAGTTCACAGATTCTGCGGTAAATTAAGTGTTTTTACCCTGCGGGCCGTCGGAGCGGGTTGACAGTCGCGCATAGTTCGAAAGATTACAAGAGGGGAATATAAAATCATCTTTTGAGAAAGACGACTTTTTTGGGTCGTAGACCCTGGAGGGGAAATCTGCTTGTTGCAGCAGGAAAAAGACCAACAATCAGTGGGATAAGGACAAACACAAACCGTCCTACAGCAGTGATGCATCTCTGCATGAGAGAATGTGCAGCATTGTGCAGCTCGGGGACTTCTCCGACGACAATGTGACATGTTTGTGTTTACGCCTCGCTGTGTGCGCCCCGCGGTGCATATTCTTCCCAGGACCGACATCCTTCCAGACAAAAGGCTTTGTGTGCCCCGAGCAGAGGGGACGAAGGATCACTCCAGGACCGGAAGCGCTGGAGGTCAAAGGAAGAATCTGTGAGATGTGACGACTGAACCACGTGTCTGGTTATTCACATCTCTACTGTAACTATGGGAGATGTTCAGGTCCGCTGGTGTGATTCAGGGTGAAAACATGAAGCAACAATCCTCCAACCCTGAACAACCATAAGTTGTAAGAGCTTCTGACGGCGGCAGGTGTACAAAGAACTTGGTTGTCAATGGTTAAATAAGTAAACACACACAGGCTACTTCCCAATTCAGGGCCGCAAACCTTTCAAAGACTGCGTTTGAAGACTGCCTTGCAGAGATGCGTCTCGTTGTTTCCCCTGGCACAAAAGGCCTCACCAGGTCGGATCTTTTGCCAGA